ATATATGTTCCTACTCCGTGTGTCATCCTTGCGTTTTGAGATCTTCCTCCATACTCGCCTAAACCCCGCGCACGAGACCCCCAAAGGAATTTGTTGGCGGGAAACGATTTCGCGAACCATGCAAGGATATCCTCTATGCACGTGCGAGCGCCTCAAAATTGTGGCGGGAAAATCGCCAACTCGAGAACCAGAAAAGCTAGAAAGCTGAAATTTTGAGATTATGTTTCCAGTCCAAGTAGAACTGAAAATTTCAAATTCGGTCCCCGGGGGTTCGTGGTTTCCGCGTACGGCCCCGTGAGGGTTCCTAGTGCGAAAATCGGTAGCTCGGGAACCAAGAAAGCTGGAAGGCCGAAACTTTCAGGAAATGTTCCCAACAATCGTCTACAACTTAAATCTATCAAATTCAGTCCCCCATTATACGTGGTTCCCGCGTACGGCCCCGTGAAATTTTTTGGCGGGGAAATGGCTAACTGCGGAACCAAGAAAGCTGGGAGGCTGAAACTTTGAGGAAATGTTTCCAACTCATCTACAATTTGAATTTATCAAATTCACCCCCCCCTCCGCCCCTCCCACTATGCGTGGTTGTACGTACGGCCCCGTAAAATTTTCTGGCTGGAATTTGGGTAACTCAGGAACTAAGAAAGCTGGGAACCTGGGATTCCAAGGGAATGGTCTCTGTCCAAGTATAGCGTGGATAATTAACTTCCCGAAATTCGAAGACCAGTATGTACAAGAGGTTTCAAGCTAGCGGAATTTCGAGTGATCTTCTTGCAGCACGAAATACTGCAGAAACGCATGATCGCACGGGCCCTCCCAGTGCTCGTCGCCAATGATTTGACAAACTACCGCTCGAGCAATACTTCCACTTTTTAGTGGACTGAAAATATGCATTTTTTCTAAAAATTTGCATTTGTCATTTTTTCACAAAGCGAGCATTTGCCGAAAAAACGACCGGACTTCATGCAAAAAATCAGTAATCATGCTCTAATCAGTAATCAGTAATCATGGCTCTATAATGCACCACCTTCATCCCAACTGACGCCCTTCCTACTGCATGCTGGAGGGGGCTAAA